TTATACAGGAGGACACAAGTTTACTGATACCTCCCTGTATCCTGTGCTTGATTCTAAACCATATTATACAAGAGGATACAAGTTTACTGATAACTGCAAGTATCCTGTGCTTGATCCTACACCGTATTATACAGGAGGACACAAGTTTACTGATAACTCCCGGTATCCTGTGCTTGATTCTACACCGTATTATACAGGAGGACACAAGTTTCCTGATAACTCCCAGTATCCTGTGCTTGATCCTACACCGTATTATACAGGAGGACACAAGTTTACTGATAACTCCCAGTATCCTGTGCTTGATCCTACACTGTCTTATACAGGAGGACACAAGTTTACTGATAACTCCAAGTATCCTGTGCTTGATCCTACACCGTATTATACAGGACACAAGTTTACTGATAACTCAAAGTATCCTGTGCTTGATCCTACACCATATTATACAGAATTCAAGTTTACTGTTAACTCCCAGTATCCTGTGCTTGATCGTACACCGTATTCTACAGGAGGACACAAGTTTACTGATATCTCCCAGTATCCTGTGCTTGATTCTACACCGTATTATACAGGAGGACACAAGTTTACTGATAACTCCCAGTATCCTGTGCTTGATTCTACACCGTATTATACAGGAGGACACAAGTTTACTGATAACTCTCAGTATCCTGTGCTTGATTCTAAACCGTATTCTACAAGAGGACACAAGTTTACTGATAACTCCCAGTATCCTGTGCTTGATCCTACACCGTATCATACAGAACACAAGTTTACTGATAACTCCCAGTATACTGTGCTTGATTCTACACCGTATTATACAGGATGACACAAGTTTACTGATAACTCTCAGTGTCCTGTGCTTGATCCTACACCGTATCATACAGAACACAAGTTTACCGATAACTCCCAGTATCCTGTGCTTGATTCTACACCGTTTTATACAGAACACAAGTTTACTGATAACTCCAAGTATCCTGAGCTTGATCCTACACCGTATCCTACAGGACACAAGTTTACTGATAACTCAAAGTATCCTGTGCTTGATCCTACACCGTATTATACAGGAGGACACAAGTTTACTGATAACTCCCAGTATCCTGTGCTTGATCCTACACCGTATTATACAGGAGGACACAAGTTTACTGATAACTCCCAGTATCCTGTGCTTGATTCTACACCGTATTATACAGGAGGACACAAGTTTACTGATAACTCCCAGTATCCTGTGCTTGATCCTACACCGTATTATACAGGAGGACACAAGTTTACTGATAACTCCCAGTATCCTGTGCTTGATCCTACACCGTATTATACAGGAGGACACAAGTTTACTGATAACTCCCAGTATCCTGTGCTTGATTCTACACCGTATTATACAGAAGGACACAAGTTTACTGATAACTCCCAGTATCCTGTGCTTGATCCTACACCGTATTTTACAAGAGGACACAAGTTTACTGATAACTCCCAGTATCCTGTGCTTGATTCTACACCGTATTATACAGGAGGACACAAGTTTACTGATAACTCCCAGTATCCTGTGCTTGATCCTACACCGTATTATACTGGAGGACACAAGTTTACTGATAACTCCCAGTATCCTGTGCTTGATCCTACACCGTATTATACAGGAGGACACAAGTTTACTGATAACTCCCAGTATCCTGTGCTTGATCCTACACCGTATTATACAGGAGGACACAAGTTTACTGATAACTCCCAGTATCCTGTGCTTGATTCTACACCGTATTATACAGGAGGACACAAGTTTACTGATAACTCCCAGTATCCTGTGCTTGATTCTACACCGTATTATACAGGAGGACACAAGTTTACTGATAACTCCCAGTATCCTGTGCTTGATCCTACACCGTATTATACAGGAGGACACAAGTTTACTGATAACTCCCAGTATCCTGTGCTTGATTCTACACCGTATTATACAGGAGGACACAAGTTTACTGATAACTCCCAGTATCCTGTGCTTGATCCTACACCGTATTATACAGGAGGACACAAGTTTACTGATAACTCTCAGTGTCCTGTGCTTGATCCTACACCGTATCATACAGAACACAAGTTTACTGATAACTCCCGGTATCCTGTGCTTGATTCTACACCGTATTATACAGGAGGACACAAGTTTCCTGATAACTCCCAGTATCCTGTGCTTGATCCTACACCGTATTATACCGGAGGACACAAGTTTACTGATAACTCCCAGTATCCTGTGCTTAATTCTACACCGCATTATACAGGAGGACACAAGTTTACTGATAACTCCCAGTATCCTGTGCTTGATCCTACACCGTATTATACAGGAGGACACAAGTTTACTGATAACTCCAAGTATCCTGTGCTTGATTCTACACCGTATTATTACTGATAACTCCCAGTATCACCACCGTATTATACAGGAGGAGGACACAAGTTTACTACAGGATACACAAGTGTACTGATCAATACCAGTATCCTGTGCTTGATTCTACACCGTATTATACAGTACACAAGTTTACTGATAACTCCCAGTATCCTGTGCTTGATTCTACACCGTATTATACAGGAGGACACAAAGTTTACTGATAACTCTCAGTATCCTGTGCTTGATCCTACACCGTATCATACAGAACACAAGTTTACTGATTCCTCCAAGTATCCTGTGCTTGATTCTACACCTTCTTATACAGGATGAAACAAGTTTACTGATAACTTTCAGTATCCTGTGCTTGATCCTACACCGCATTATACAGGAGGACACAAGTTTACTGATAACTCCCAGTATCCTGTGCTTGATCCTACACCGTCTTATACATGACACAAGTTAGCTGATAATTCTCAGTATCCTGTGCTTAATTCTACACCGTACTATATAGGACACAAGTTTACTGATAACTCACAGTATCCTGTTCTTGATTCTACACCGTATTATATTGGACAAAAGTTTTTCTGATAACTCTCAGTATCCTGTGCTTGATCCTACACCGTATTATACCGGACACAAGTTTACTGATAACTCCCAGTATCCTGTGCTTGATTCTACACCGTATTATACAGGATGACACAAGTTTACTGATAACTCCCAGTATCCTGTGCTTGATCCTACACCGTATTATACAGGAGGACACAAGTTTACTGATAACTCCCAGTATCCTGTGCTTAATTCTACACCGCATTATACAGGAGGACACAAAGTTTACTGATAACTCCCAGTATCCTGTGCTTGATCCTACACCGTATTATATAGGATGACACAAGTTTACTGATAACTCCCAGTATCCTTTGCTTGATCCTACACCGTATTATACAGGATGACACAAGTTTACTGATAAATCCCAGTATCCTGTGCTTGATTCTACACCGTATTATACAGGAGGACACAAGTTTACTGATAACTCCCAGTATCCTGTGCTTGCTTCTACACCGTATTATACAGGACGACACAAGTTTACTGATAACTCCCAGTATCCTGTGCTTGATCCTACACCGTATTATACAGAAAGACACAAGTTTACTGATAACTCAAAGTATCCTGAGCTTGATCCTACACCGTATTTAACAGGACACAAGTTTACTGATAACTCCCAGTATCCTGTGCTTGATTCTACACCGTTTTATACAGAACACAAGTTTACTGATAACTCCCAGTATCCTGTGCTTGATCCTACACCGTATTATACAGGAGGATACAAGTTTACTGATAACTCCCATTATCCTGTGCTTGATTCTTCACCATATTATACAGGAGGACACAAGTTTACTGATAACTCACAGTATCCTGTTCTTGATCCTACACCGTATTCTACATGACACAAGTTTACTGATAACAACCAGTATCCTGTGCTTGATCCGCAATCCTTGCATCTGATTGATGAAAACTGAGCTTTTACCCAATAATAGGTATATAGAGGTGCCAGATATGACTTGTGAAGCAATGGTGGTCGACATTAGATAAGCAGTAAACTAAACATAAGTCAGAATCACTGATCAGGTCAAGGTCAAATTTTGTATCCTTTCACTGATGCATATTTGATTTAACATTTTGAAACAGATTTGGTAGTAATTAAACATGAAGTAAACTGACTAAATACCAATGTCACTGCGGCAATGGTCAAGGTCAAATTTTGTATAAATTCACTGATGCATGTTTTGTTATGACATGAAATTGTTTTTAAAGTTGATCGTTTTTATTTGGTTGACATTGTAGCTAAAAGAAGACGTCCTACCACTTACGACATTTGATAAGGAATGGTTGACGCCAATAGAAACTTCATAAAAGATTAAGGTCTCTAAGTCTGAATTTGAATCTCTATCGTGGCTTGACACAGGACCCTTCATACCTTCCTCCAAAGCATTAAACCATTCTACCCTCTTAATTCAGCTTTTTCTCACTAGAAAGTCGTACTTTCCCCGATATAAATTGAACTCCCCTGCTATAATTTCATACTTGCCTTCTTAAGATTCAATTTGTTCCTCGGTATAGATGCAGCCTTTTCTTCCAATAAATTCCACATTTTGTCCTTACTGTAAGTTCATAATTACCTCCTTCCCATGTTATATCTACCTAATGTATTTAGCTGTTATGTTGAACCCACTTAAACCCAGTCCCTGGTTTTGGAAGAGACAAACCCTTTATATGCATTTACCGGGCGCTTTATATATGTAGAATCACACACCAATTGGATTGTACAAAATACACAATAAGACCTTTTCATAATTTAGAGTAAGATACAGTAGAGCCAAACAATTAATTAAACTGTATCATACAGCTTGTTCTTTCCTCTGAGACTCTACCATTAATCAACGATTGGGGAATGAATGTAATGATATCGAGGGTAGGTGCTCACCTCATCTTCCGCTGATTGTTATGTTTAGCTTGTATTCGCAAACAGTATTTGACATTTTAAAACATCGATCCAATATGACCGATTAAAAATAATTCCTGACCTAGCTGAGAAGTCTTATCTATATAATCTATGTTTGGTTCCGAGTGATTCCCTGTCAAGATGGCACTCAGGGAGTATTTGGTCGTGGTATCTCTAGTATGTGTGTCCAGTTTACACCATGGTAAGTAGATTACATACAGCGTGTCCATGTTTGATTATCTAGGCTGTATTTTCAGTATATGTGGGTGAAATATTTCTACATTGTCTAGACTGTACGTTCAGTATGTGTGGGTGTAATATTTCTATATTGCATAGACTGTACGTTCAGTATGTGTGGGTGTAATATATTTTCGAGGCTGTACGTTCAGTATAAGTCGGTGTAATATTTCTATATTTTCTAGACTGTACGTTCAGTATGTGTGAGTGTAATATTTCTATAATTTCGAGGCTGTATTTTCAGTTTATGTGGGTGTAATGTAATACATTTTCTAGACTCTACATTCAGAATGTGTGGTGTAAAATTTCTATATTTTCGAGACTGTACGTTTAGTATGCTCAGGTGTAATGTTTCTATATTTTCTAGGGTGTACGTTCAGTATATGTGGGTGTAATATTTCTATATTTTCTAGACTGTACGTTCAGTATGTGTGGGTGTGATATTTCTATATTTTCGAGGCTGTACGTTCAGTATATGTGGGTGTAATATTTCTATATTTTCGAGGCTGTACGTTCAGTATGTTCGGGTGTGATATTTCTATATTTTCGAGGCTGTACGTTCAGTATATGTGGGTGTAATATTTCTATATTTTCGAGACTGTACGTTCAGTATGTGTGGGTGTGATATTTCTATATTTTCGAGGCTGTACGTTCAGTATGTGTGGGTGTAATATTTCTATATTTTCGAGGCTGTACGTTCAGTATGTGTGGTGAGATATTTCTATATTTTCGAGGCTGTACGTTCAGTATAAGTGGGTGTGATATTTCTATATTTTTTAGACTGTACGTTCAGTATATGTGGGTGTGATATTTCTATATTTTCGAGGCTGTACGTTCAGTATAAGTGGGTGTAATATTTCTATATTTTCTAGGCTGTACGTTCAGTATAAGTGGGTGTGAAATTTCTATATTTTCTAGGCTGTAAGTTCAGTATATGTGGGTGTAATATTTCTATGTTCTAGGCTGTACGTTCAGTATATGTGGGTGTGATATTTCTATATTTTCGAGGCTGTATGTTCAGTTTATGTGCGTGTAATATTTCTATATTTTCGAGGCTGTACGTTCAATATGTGTGGGTGAATATATTTTCTTGGCTGTACGTTCAGTATGTGTGGGTGTGATATTTCTATATTTTCTAAACTGTACGTTCAGTATATGTGGGTATAATATTTCTATTTTCTAGGCTGTACGTTCAGTATAAGTGGGTGTGATATTTCTATATTTTCTAAACTGTACGTTCAGTATGTGTTGAGGCTGTACGTTCAGTATGTGTTACCACAATCATTCATCTTTCTGCAATTTATCACACTAACTCATCTTTCTGTAGTTTATCAAACTCATTCATCTTTCTGTAGTTTATTACACTCATTAATCTTTCTGTAGTTGATCATATTCAGACAACTTTCAGTAGTTTATCACACTCATCTTTCTGTAGTTTATCAAACTCATTCATCTTTCTGTAAGTTATCACACTCATCTTTCTGTATTTTATCACAAACTCATCTTTCTGTAGTTAATTACACTCACTTATCTTTCTGTAGTTTATTATACTCACTCATCTTTCTGTAGTTTATCACACTCATCTTTCTGTAGTTTATCACACTCATTCGTCTTTCTGTAGTTTATCATATTCACACAACTTTCAGTAGTTTATCACACTCACTCATCTTTCTGCAATTGATCGAACTAACTCATCTTTCTGTAGTTTATCTCACACAGTTTTCTGTCTGTAGTTTATAACACTCAATCATCTTTCTTTAGTTTATCACTCTCACTCATCTTTCTGTAGTTCATCACACCCACTCATCTTTCTGTAGTTTATTATACTCACACATCTTTCTGTAGTTTATCACACTCACTCATCTTTCTGCAATTCATCACACTAACTCATCTTTCTGTAGTTTATCACACTCATCCTTGTGTAGTTTATCACACTCACCCATCTTTCTGTAGTTTATTACACTCACTCATCTTTCAATTTTCTCATTTTCATCTTTCTGTAGTTTATCATGTGTCATCTTTCTGTAGTTTATCACACTCATTCATCTTTCTGTAGTTTATTCACACTTACTCATTTTTCTGTAGTTTATCACCTTGATCTTTGTGTTGTTAATCACACTCTCACTTATCTTTCTGTAATTTATAACACTCACTCATCTTTCTGAAGTTGATCACTTACTTATCTTTCTGCAGTTCATCACACTCACTCGTCTTTCTGTAGTTTATCATATTCACACAACTTTCAGTAGTTTATCACACTCATCTTTCTGTAGTTTATCACACTCACTCATCTTTCTGTAGTTTATCTCACTCACTCAACTTTCTCTAGTTTACCAAAATCATTCATCTTTCTGTAGTTTATCACAATCACTCATCTTTCTGCAATTGATCGAACTAACTCATCTTTCTGTAGTTTATCACACTCTTGCTGTAAGTTACACACTCATCTTTCTGTAGTTTATTATATTTTCGAGGTAGTATTTCACTCATCTTTCTGTAGTTTATTTCTCATATCTTTCTGTAGTTTATACACTCACTCATCTTTCTGTAGTTTATACATACTATCTTTCTGTAGCTTTGTTCAGTATGTGTCATAATATATCTTTCTGTAGTTTATTACACTCACTCATTTTTCTGTAGTTTATCACTCTCACTCATCTTTCTGTAGTGTATTACACTCACTCATCTTTCTGTAGTTTATCATATTCACACAACTTTCAGTAGTTTATCACACTCATCTTTCTGTAGTTTATCACACTCATTCATCTTTCTGTAGTTTATTCACACTGGTGTGATCTTTATTTCTATAGTTTTCACACTCACATCTTTCTGTAGTTTATCATACTCACTCATCTTTCTGTAGTTTATCACGTTCACTCATGTTTCTGTAGATTTATCACACTCATCATCTTTCTGTAGTTTTACGTTCAGTATCTTTCTGTAATTTATCACACTCATCATCTTTCTGTAGTTTATCACACTCAGTATCTTTCTGTAGTTATCACACACTCATCTTTCTGTAGTTTATATACACTCACTCATCTTTCTGTAGTTTATTCACAACTTTCAGTCTTTCTGTTTATCACACTCATCTTTCTGTAGTTTTATCATGTTCAGTATTTGTGGGTGTCACTCATCTTTCTGTATTTATCACACTCACTTTCAGTATGTTTATGTAATATCTTTCTGTAGTTTATCACACTCACTCATCTTTCTGTAATATTTATCATATTTTCTCACTCATCTTTCTGTAGTTTATTACATTTTCACTGTACAGTATGTTGGGTGTAATATTTCTGTATTTTTCTGTAGTTCATCATGTGTCACTCATCTTTCTGTAGTTTATCACACTCATCTTTCTGTATTTATGGGTGTAACTTTGTATATTTATCACACTCATCATCTTTCTGTAGTTTGTAATCATTTCATATTTTCTCACTCATCTTTCTGTAGTTTATCAATCTCACTCATCTTTCTGTAGTTTATCACACTCACTCATCGTTCTGTAGTTTATCACACTCACTAACCTTTCTGTAATTTATCATATTCACACAACTTTCAGTAGTTTATCAATATTTCATCTTTCTGTAGTTTACGTTCAGTATGTGTGGGTGTAGTATTTCTATATTTTCTGTAGTTTATTTCACTCATCTTTCTGTTTCACACTGTAATATTTCTATATCACTTTCTCACTCATATCTTTCTGTAGTTTATAACACTCATTTCATCTTTCTCTAGCTGTAAGTTCATACACTTACTCATCTTTCTGTAGTTCATCATACTCACTGATCTTTCTGTAGTTTATCATACTCACACATCTTTCTGTAGTTTATGTGCTCTCACTCATATTTCTATAGTTTATCACACTCACTCATCTTTCTGTAGTTTATCTCACTCACTCAACATTCTCTAGTTTACCACAATCATTCATCTTTCTGTAGTTTATCACAATCACTCATCTTTCTGTAGTTTATCAATATTCATCTTTCTGTAGTTTATACACTCACTCATCTTTCTGTAGTTTATTATTCATGACAACTTTCAGTAGTTTATCACATCATCTTTTTGTAGTTTATCAAACTCACTTATCTTTCTGTAGTTATCACACTCATCTTTCTGTGGTTTATTACACTCACTATATCTTTCTGTAGTTTATACACTCACTATCTTTCTGTAGTTTATTACACTCATTGATCTTTCTGTAGTTTATCATATTCACACAACTTTCTGTAGTTTCACACTCATCTTTGTGTATTTTATCACACTCACTGTACTTTCAGTAGTTTGTCATATATTTTCTCTGTATGTTCAGTATATGTGGGTGTAATATAATATATCTTTCTGTAGTTTATTCATATCATTTTCAGACTGTATTTCTGCAATTCATCACACTAACTTATCTTTCTGTAGTTAACACATATATCTTTGTGTAGTTTATCACAGTATCATCTTTCTGTAATATAACTATATCTTTCTGTAAGTTATCACATTCATCTTTTTCGTAGTTTATCACACTCATCTTTCTACAGTTCATCATATTCACACAACTTTCAGTAGATTATCAAACTCATCTTTCTCTAGTTTATCACAATCACTCATCTTTGTGTTGTTTATCACACCCACTCGTCTTTCTGTAGATTATCACACTCACTCGTCTTTCTGTAGTTTATCATATTCACACAACTTTCAGTAGTTTATCACACTCATCTTTCTGTAGTTTATCAAACACATTCATCTTTCTGTAAGTTTCACACTCATCTTTCTGTATTTCATCACAAACTCATCTTTCTGTAGTTAATCAAACTCATTCATCTTTCTGTAGTTTATTACACTCATTAATCTTTCTGTAAGTTATCACACTCATCTTTCTGTATTTTATCACACTCACTCGTCTTTCTGTAGTTGTACACTCATTTCTTCTAAGTTTTCACAGTATGGGTGTAATCTTTCTGTATTTTCTACACT